ACTTAAGTTGCGCAAACCGCAGGTGCGGCTCAGGTCGAGACAGGAATTCTTTACTTGCAGAGTGGTGAACGCGTGGAATGCGTTAGATGACGAAGTGTGGCTGCCCCTTCTGTGACTATCTTTAAGAAGAAACTGGATACTTTCATGGACAAGCAAAAAGGTGGGGGGCAATGTTGACGTTAGGTGCTAGGCAGTAAGCAACTAGGATAGTAAAAAAAAAAATACAATTAAGGAACGCTCGACCTCGACACGTGATATCGAAATGGGTGAAATCGCCTCTTGATATCACTATCTACTCTTGAATCTTGAATCATGGCTTAACCAGACAAGGCAAAAGTGATTAATATGATGGCCAGTGTTTGCACTTTACATGCGAAAAGTAACTAGTTACTATTACAAGTGCTTGTCTTTTCTGCACCAGCACAAACACTGGCTCGTAGTTCTAGAATTCAAGCCAGAGTGAAGAAAGCTGAAGGCATATTGAACAAAGGTTTAAGCGCCAAACCTAAATGTATTTGTTTTCAAGTTCAAGCCCTCCACGTCAAACCCGGATATATTCGTTTGGCCTTTTAACCATTTTAATCCATGCTTGGAAGTTCAAAGAACTTATATGAAAAATATAACACACCTTTCCCACAAACAAATAAATACCATGTACAGACATGTAAAATTAACTGTAAAGTTAGATTTCTTGAAAAAAAAACCCAGCCTGGTGGGAATGCATGACCCACAGTACTGTGGCACTGAAAGGGTTAACAGACAACACATGCCAAAAAAAGCATCGACTGCAACAGATTTGCATTTGGTTATGTCTGTCTGCCTGAGTGTTCTAGCACCCAAACCTTATGTAGATTTTAAAATGTTTACACTGATGCAATAGCATCTGAGGATTTATCCTCATCTATCTTCATCTCTTAGATGTAGTTCTTATTTTGCAAAAAAATTAATTCTGCAATGGAAGATGAAAGCTGCCGGTTATGCATTTTCATGTCATGAGTGACATGGATTAGTGAAATAATTTCCATGGGCTCAATCCAATTTGTGCTCAAGGTCGAGTTATAGGTAAATAGTGGGTTATGAAATGTTCGAGCTGCAGACCTGCCATATGGTATTTACTCAAACAAGTAAGGTTTCCACAAGAGTGATGACACAATTGCCATTGTTGCAAGTCATCCTCAGCAAGTGCTAGAACTCCAGGAAAATCCATGAGCTTTATAGTAATATGTTCACACCCTGTGATGATTTTTCTCCAATAGAAAATGCAGCAATCACCTAATTCTAGAGTTGGGAAAAAATTACAATTTTTACGTATGGTTTTCAGATTTTTCTGGTGCTGAGGAAGTATAAGGTGTATGCTTGTGTGGACGTGTGCATGAGTAAAATATATCACATGATTTGAAATTATTTCCTTTCACTCTGATTTGTCCACACTTCACATTTAGTTGAATATTTTCAACTTTGCAAATGATTTCAATGTTGGTAGGGATGAATGTTGTAATGTAGCCCTGGTCACCTAAAATTGTATTCATATTTTAGAAGTAACAATACAGTAATGCCATTGACTTTTCTTTGGAATAGGAATTAAGTACCAGTTCCTTTACTACCAGCGAAAAATTTACGAAAGCAAATTGTTCCCACTGAAATGATTGTAAAAGGTAATATTCTGAGCCACTTTGGTAATTGAGGTTGAATTTCTTTTGAAGTAGGCTAACTGTGGTTGAAGACATCTTAAGTCACTGATTCCAGGGGGTGGAGGCTTCAGCACTTTGAGTTCAACCCTTTGCAGTCCACTGGCAGACATAGTCTGACAATCTCCATAGAGTTACAAATAAAATGGACTGGAAAGGGTTAAAAGTTTATCAAGGCAAAGACTGATTTCAATCTCTTTCAATCTTGTTCTGGATCCAGATGGAAGATTGTGAGAAGAAAGGAAAATGAAAATGAGAGCCACTGAACAAGTAAAACTTAGGTCTTACTTCAATTGTCTGAGGTTTTTTTGTTCATTTTCATTCAGTTTCCAAAATATCTGGAGAAAGAGAGTATTTGCATATTTTACTGTGGGGTGGTGCTCCCCTTCAGATACCCATTGAAAGTACCTAGCAACCCTGTGAGGAATTTTATTCATCCCCCAAGAGCCTTTGCTCAGCAACCAACACTCCTTCTGCTGTCCTGCCCCTTTGGCTAGTGAGCCAAAATATATCACCGATGGTTTGTAACTCCAAGTGTGTATTCCTTATGTCCCCTCTTAGCAACACTATTGGTCAGATACAGTGGTCATTGCCTTCATTTTCAGCTCTCATTCTGCCTGCAGTGATGACATTCCAATAATACATCTTTTCACTTCTATTCATCATGCTAAGTCCTCTACAATAATTTTGTAGTTGAAACCCTGTTGCACTTTAGTGAAAAAAAATTGGACATGGTGCCTGAAAAACACCAGGATTATGGAGAAGCCATAAAACTACTTAGCTCTATAGAAAAAAAAACAGGTAAAGAAAATCTGTTCATGCTGAGCACCTTAGTGACAAGTCCTTTCAGCATCTGAACTGAGCTGGGGCAGATAGGAAAAACATCTGTGGAACATCGGTGATGCTGTTGGACTGCCTCAGCAGACAGGGAAACCCTGCAAGACCCTGGTTTCCTGTCCTTTCCAAACCTACACTAGATGCCTCTCACAGGGAGGTTCCATGAGATTTTTGAAGGGGGTGAGGGAGAAGGAGACAGCACATGCTATCTGAACAACTGGTTTGAGTTTGGAAGAAGGAAAACACAGTTTCAAAAAAAAGTAGCTTTATGGATTTAACATACTTCATGAAAACTTCATCTTTTAAAGTTTGAGCCTTAAGACACTAGCCTATCAGTTCAATGAGATTCCAATGAGAACACCATTAAAATAAAGGCATTTCATCCTACCTGAAGTAAGGATGGGGGATGAAAAAGATGCAAAAATGTTGCATGCTTCTGCAGAAAGTAGTAGTTTAAGTGAAAGTCCTCAAGAGTTCTGGCATAAACTCATCCATCTTGGTCCCACATAGCTTCATGCTTCTTTAAAAATTTATAATTGCAAAAAAGTTATTTAAAAAAGGCTTCAATAAGGCAGGGATTCTTCATTTGATATCAAGAGTATAAAAATGACAGCAGCCTACAACTTGCTCAGTCAAAAAGAAAAAAAAAAAGGTAGAGTACCTTACATACAGTGAAGACCTTTCTCTAGCAACACCATAAGAAATTAGCAGCCATTAATTCCCTTCCATCTTTTAAGAGGATAAGTTAAATACATGTTTCTCTTTGATGAATGGGGTACCTTGTGACACTGAAGGCATTAAAAGAAGGGTCACAGCACAGGACATTTTTGGCAAAAAATTGAATGAAAAACAAAGAGACATGGATCATGTCATGAACAGGACAAAGCTTGCAAAAGCATCTCTTACAGATGACAGAGATCTGAGTGAAGTCAAGGGGCCACCAAACTACTACAACATATACTGCACTTGAAAAGATGATAGTCTGAGCTGATGAGAGGGGTATGGTACCACTCACCCATAATTTTCTCATAAGAACCAGTGTTATTGTCATGAAATTTCAGAACACCAAAAGTTAAAGAGATGGAGTAATGACTCTCACATAAAGAATTTCATCTTATACCAAATCCTCATGAAAGAAATCAAGCAGGAGACTGGAAGCAAATTCCTGAATAAAAAATTTCAACATGAATGCATTGTCAATACAATCAATGGTCTCAAAAAAAATAATTCCTGGAAAAAAAGGGATGAAAGGGGTGAGCTGCCTGATTCAAATTAGCAGATCCACATGAGATATCCCTAGGGGAGAATGAAACAGGACGGGAAATACTTGTCAAAGTCATTTTGGTTTTGATTGGGTGAAAGCCCCAAGGGGAAATCCTTGTGATCACAAAGGGTAACCTTGAACTCTTGGAATGCTTCCATAAATACATCAAAGAACCAAGCTTTAGAAGACATTGATAGATTAAAATAGAAATCTGTGTGGAAAAAATGATGAAAAAAATACTCTTTCTGAGTCTTTGGAACATTCTCTTCACAAATGCAGGCACTTACTATCACTCGGAATTGACAGCATAACCAATGAACAAGAGCATGTGGCATCACATGACTGATGTGATGAGAGGAAGACCTGGAGCTCATCCACTTTCATTTGGTGTTGCAAGACTCCAGGGCAATGGTGGAGGACAAGCTCTTACATGCCAGACTCAGCTATTCCCTCATCATCTGCAATATGAAGGGAAGCAACAAACAACAAGGAGTTGCTCTGGTATAACGTTTATTTTAAAAATTATTTAGTGGGAGCTAACACAACAGGATTTAACTTCTCCCAAGCTGACTAGAACTTTGAACATGACAAAGCAAGGATTAAGTTCACTCTCACTTCATTCCACTTAATTTCTCTGGTTCCATTAGGCAACTAACCCCATGCAAGATGAAGCTAATGTAAATTTGTTCCATTCAGGGGTCTGGCACTGATTAAAAAAAAATACCAAGATTAGAGGGTGCATGAGTGACTAATCTACACTTCATGACACTACTCAATGCTGAGCCTTTCCTAATTTCTCTCCTTTTTTTTTTGTTGTACCTCTTGACTTTGGCATGGGAGCTTGGTGCAATCATTTGGAGCAAGAACAGCCAGGCATGGATACAGACCATGTAGATCGAAGTTGAATATCATATCACCCAAGAATTGGCTTGCTGCAGTACACACACACATTCTCCCATCATATCATTTTTAATTACTCATTTGTAACTTCACAGTCTCAGGAGGAGACTCACCTTCAAAGCCTTCATTCTCATGAACCTCACGAGGAGGGATGTCATTCTCACGCCCCTCAAGGACAGCCAGGAGACACTGATGAATGCATATGTACTGTTGCTCTGTCTGTACCATCCAGACACGCTCCCGCCTCATCTCATATACCATCCCAAAAATATCCACATAGTCCTCTTTCTTTATATGCTGGAGAATGCGGTCCAGGGCAATGAAAGTTCCTGATCGACCCACCCCAGCACTGAAAAACAAAAATAATGATTCATTCACCTCTCACACTTTCCAGAAGGAAATTGAGTTTGGGGTGGAAAAAGACATTCACCTGCAATGTACTACAATTGGTTTCTGTTCAGGACCAACACGTTCCCTGAAGGCTCTTACAAACCTGACTAGAGTCTGAGGTGGGTCAGGGACTCCAAAGTCAGGCCAGGTTGTGAAATGGAAATGTCTTACAATGCGTGATGTATCTCCCTAAAAATGTCAGAAAGGACATTCAAGATTAAGACCATCAAATTCAACATCAACTGAGCAAAGATGATAATGAACTCACCCTGGTGACTTTGAACTCTCGTATTGTCCAGTCAGGATACTGGCTTTCATTGAGGACAATGACCTGGATGTCTCCATAATATGCTGGCTGTGTATCATATGGCCAGTAATGATCACACTTCTCCCGTCCTTTTTCTATGCATCTGGTGAGCATCACAATGGCTCGTGAGTTACCCTCCCAAATCATCCGCCACAAGTCATCTCTTGTGCTGTGCAGTGGACCTTGAGTCACAATGAATTCCCGAGGAGAGTTGTGGCCCTGAAATGATAATACTCTACTATTCTGAAAGTTGGCCATGTGAAGGAATCCTCTGCAAAATATTTTCCCATTACTCACAGGAACATAATTGGCATTGATGTAATCTGAACCCTCTTCATCATCTGTTGGCTGAAGCTTGAAGCGGGAATGATCATAGGGTAGGATGTTGGTGAAGCGGTTTTTTGGCCTGTTGCATGGAATGTCAGCTGCTGTGCAAGGCTGATCTCTCCCAACATGTTTCAGCTCCTCATATTCTTCAGAGAACCTAGATTTCACGTAAGAACTTCATGCATGAGTGGTGCTGCATCACAGAATGCAAGTATAATAAAGCAATGGGATGTACCTAAAGTCTGAATCTGCAGCCATGAGACGATAATGTTCCTGGAAGTCCTTGAGCTTTACAGGTCGACTGGTCACAATCACACTGTCAGGGAGGGAAATGTTGTCCTCCTTCCCTGCCCCACGGTGATGATGACCTTTGTCCACACCTTTCCTCCTCCAGCAGATCCCCACTCGGTATCGCCTCATTAGCATTAGCGTCACAATCAAGACAATCACAAGGAGGAGAGGAATGATGATGCTTATCACCATCCCTGATGTATTCCTCTCTGAAAAAGAGAGCCAAGAGTATAGCTTTCAAAGCCTAGGCCTATAAATAAATAACATGACAGTCACAGCAAGTTGAAGGAAATCTTTCACCAGTTTCAATAGGATGACTCCAGTATGTATCTGAATATTTTTCTTGAGATGTGAAAGCTCGAATCTTGACACGATATGTAGAACCAGGCTTCAGAGGTCCATTACAGTGGCCCACCTTTCCATGACATTCCTCTGTCCCAATTGTGTAGTCCACCACAGAGGATGTGTTGAAAGGATAATAAGGAGCATTTGCCTGGGCATAGAAAACATTTCCTCAGATTCTGGGGTATGTTTCAGACTTCCCAAGAAGCTGGCAAATATCACACAATTTTCTACAGAATGAAAAAATGGATGGGGCCCAGGTCTACACATAAAATTGTATGTGGAAAAACAGTTTAACTCATGTTTAAATTTAATTTTAATCAAGAAAAGCCCAAAAACCAATGATGTAGCAAAGCAAATTATTATTCAGTGTGATGGATTTTCCATGAAGGCCTTCTTCAAGATTCCCACAGACAAGTCTGTTTGCACCATGGAATTCATGTACCAAAATGATGCTGCATTTGCTAGAAAATACAGAAAAGAAAATTCCCCATATTATTAAGATTTCAAAGCTTGTAAAGTTCAAGTTAACATCAGGCTGAGGCTCCTTAGCACCGGTAGCTCTACTTTCACTTGATATTCAATTTTACACCCTTATTGACTTCCTTACCAGGTTATTCCTCCAGTGGTGTTCCTTCTGATTATTGGTATGAAAAATAATTGTAAAATTACCTGATGGCAATATGTTACAAGAGGTTTGGTAGAGCAGAGAAAGAGATTCATTATGCCTTGACCATTCATGTGATCCCTGATGACTACAATCTACAGTTTGAGAAATGCTTTGAGAGATACATTACGGCAGGGGTTGGCAACTTTTCACTAATTGCTGGCCAGATTAACACAGCTCAGCCCTATGACAGGCCAGAGTGTATAATTGATTGTGGTGCTGATCTACCCAGAGGAGGGATGTATGAGGTTATGAAAGGAATAAATGAAATATAAAATAAATCTCCTCTTTTCTTGGCATGCTTAGCAGACCAATGAAATCTCTGCAGGCCATAGGTTGCCAACCCCTGCTTTACAGGGTATGCCTGTGGCTCCTTTGTTCCATGCCTGTGTGGTTTACAGCTTTCCTGGTCCACTACTGTGTAGTTTTGCCAGCACAAAGACTTCTACCTCATACAAGATGATTTCTGATACCTGAGACCTCAGCTGTCTGACCCAGTCCAGATGATAATAGAAGACATCATAAGCCTAGGGCATCCATCTATGCCATCAAGAGTAAGCAATTTCTTACCTGGTAAGGGGGCCAGATGGTGTATCTCTGGACATCCTGCCAAGTGGGCAAGTCTAGCCCAAGTACCTCACCAGATACATCCTCAGCCACTATGATGGCATAGGCTGTTATCTGTTAAAACGAAAAAAAAAATACAACTCCAGCATATTAAGCCTTTTTTCATGCTATTCTTACTTTTCTCTGCACTTTCTACTTACATCACCATGTCGAGTAGAGAAATAATTCTTGCGAAATCGAATCTCAATTGTTGTGCTGGTCCGTGAAACTTCAGTGGGGAAGACCTGAGGGTTTGGCCTGGGTGGAGCTGAAACAACAGTTCAATATTAGCTGATAATGAAATTGAGATGAACTACTTCAAAGAAAATGAATGACAATGAAAAGGAAAGATACTGACCCCAAACAGGCATTCGTTGTTCCCAGAATGCCACACTGCCATAGCCAATCTGAGTCTTGGCTTGGATCTGGAACTCATATACTTCACCAGGAATGAGGTTGAAAATTGTGCCTTGGAATTCCTGGGGACCAAAGTCCTGCACCAATGTATACTCAGAACCCTAGGATAGAGAATGACATAATTTCTTCATTACTGACAGTTGCAGGTCATCCAACCAAACAAGCCAAAGAAATTCAACTTATTCACAAACACTATTAGATAAAAACTGCAGAAAGTAATCAAAAGGAAACCTTGGCTCCATATCGAATAGTGAAACCGATGAGGATTCCATTTTGATTGGAAGATGGAATGTGCCACTCAAATGTGATTTTGCTGGGCGTCACATCAATTGGATGGAAGTTCAGAACCTGTAGAGGAAAAAACCACATTGATAAGAGAAGCAGAGAGAATGGCCAAAGAAGCATACAGTTAAATCCTCCTATTAGCATTCAATCGCAAGAAGGCTACCTTTCCAGGAACAGATTCTTGAGTTACAAATGTGGCTGATACAGGGAGGGATCGTTTCTGTGTTGGGGTGTCAGAACCTGACAACACTGTCACAGTAAATGTGTAGTTGCGATGTGGTCTCAGGCCCCCCAGAGTGATGCGATTCACTAGTGAGATATTCCTCAGCAGTGCATCTTCAGCAGTCAGGTATTGGACCTGAAGAAAACCCACATAAATTTCACTCAAATTCACTAAAACACTTTACATTTGATAAACATAATTTTTTTTACTCCAACTTTACTTTTTACATTCATTTAAACTGAAAGGCTTATTCTTACCTCATATGCATCATGATCACCATTAGGAACATTCCAAGTAAGGATTATGTATGTATCTGCAACATGGCTTGCATTCACCCAGGACACGGGTTCTGGAACTGGAATATAGGAATAAGCACATCAATGACTGTCCAACCTCCTTTCATGGAATAACGTAAGGCTTCCTGAGGAATATTCACTCACATTGTCTTGTTTGCCTTACAAGGGGTGCACTGGTCACTCCACCAGATACAGTCCAGCAAGTAAGATTGTAGAGCCGCCCAGGTACAAGATCATGAAAGAGAACCTTTCTGTCAGGGTCACTTTCACTCTTCTCTTGCACTGGGATTCGAGGGTCTGACAATTGAAATCTGTATCAGAAAAAAAATTAATGCATCTTCTCAAAATCCATTTCAACTTACCACCATATTAAGTTGGTAACTTATATAGGCCAACTATATCCATGTTTAGGTTAATTAGGGCTACAGACAATATAAAACAGGCATGTCCTGACTTAAGATAAACCTACCAGATGACAAGAACAGGACAAAGTTGAATAAATGAGGAATTCATGAATCATTTATATACACTGACCATTCAATTCACAATGTCCTGACTTAAATTAAAGGAAAACTCTTGAAAGAGACATAGTGATTCTATCATGAAGAACAATGACATAACATGATCTACATTAATGGGCTAGATATGGAAGAAAGGATCCAACCTATAGTTGTCCAGTAGAGAGACTGTGTTTGGAGTTGGAGTGAAGCGAACAGTGAGTGAAGCAGTGTCCTCAGGATTGTTTGCCAGGTACACCTCAGATTTGATTAGTGGCACTGTGGGAAATGCAGTCAATCATGTAAGATGAATTTCTCATACTAATAGTTTCAACCTAATTAATTCATAATAAGAGGAATTACTGGTCCGAGTGGTGAGTGTGAGGACACGGGACAGAAGTCCATGAGACTTCGTCTGGAAAGAGAACCTGACAAAGGAATAGAGTAACATTCATCATTATTCATTAGAGAAACATTAGAGGCATCTTCTACTTTACATTGGTGTACACCTGAACCTCACCTGTATTCCTGCCCTGGGAAGAGGTGATCAACAGTGACACGAACTACTCCTTCAGCAGGATGAACAACTTCATCAGCTGGGATCTCCTCTTCCCCTTGTATCCCTCGTGTTGGTTCATCATCTTCTCCTCTAGGCTCCCAAGATATCAAATACACTTCTACTTTTCCTTTTGGAATTTCCCATTCAAATGTGATGTTCCCAGATGACCGCAATGGAGTCACCTCTCCAATCCCATCTGGTCCTGGAAGCAAGAAAAAATTAATGAGAACTACACATCACTAATTGAACCAACATAAACAGGTGTGGGCTTGGCTCACTGAGAGTGTAATCTGCATGGAGACTGCTCTGACTCTCAACTCTGTGACTCACAGAGTTCAATTGAAAAGTGAAGCTCTGACCAGGAGGGATATCTGTGAGAAACTTTGAGGTGGAAGTTGCTGGCACAGGAGGTAGCTCCTCCCACTGAGGAGACTGACTTGTGTGATATCTAAGGGTATGCCAATAGAACATTAACAGCAAGCCATATGAAGACAGTGCAAAAAGAGAATGATCTTATGTGAATCAGGTATACCGAATGATGAACCCATCATAAATGGAATCTAGTGGTGGATCCCATTCCAGCTTGACAGATGACTCATTCTTGGAGCCCAAGACCTTCAAGTTTCTGGGTGGATTTGGAACTAGCATAGATCAGGAGAAAGTTTACTCTCTGATATTTGCTGTCATCTGCTGAATTGATTGAATTTCAATTGAATACTTCAACTCACAGACTGCTTGAAAGTAGACATGAGGCTCACTCCAGAGTCCATTGCTGATGGCATAAACTTTGATGCTGTAGCCAGCTCCAGGATAGAGGCCATCCAAGGTGATGCGAGGCTCTTCTGTCTTCTCTGTCACCTGCTCGCCTGTGTCATTACGTGTGTATACAACAGCATAACTGTCCTGGCGCGATGTGACATCCCACTTCCATGAAATGTTGAGACCATGAGGCAGAGGAGACAGGGTCTCAATGATTGGGGATGAAGGATCTGAGTACAAGTGGAATATATAATTTGCATCTCGTGTTGATAAAGATTCCACTAAAACATCAGTTGGTGGGGGTGTAATGACTCACTTGTCACTTGGAAGATAACTCTTTCCTCACTCTCCATGCCATTACTGATGGCTTGAACAGCAATGGAATAATTGCGGCCTCGCAAGAGTTTCTCCAACGAGAAGCTAGTGTCAGTGACAATATCTGATCCAGAGTCTCCATTGAAAGAGCCCACTTCTTGCCATGTCACCTATCACATGATAATCAACCAATTTCAGAGTAGGACAGAGAACAAAGGCTGTAGTGAAAGTTAGGTCAAGGTTCCCAGTTTCATCAGTGAGTATAGAACATTTAATAAGACAGAGGCCAAGAAGGTTAATAATAATCTGGGCACTGGATTCTGATGCCATACCACCAGAGTAGGATAAGGATTCTTCCTTTCAAAGATGGTTTCCACAAAAGTCTTAAATGTAAATAATCATTTTATCCTGTGAATCTCTTACCATGCATTGACAGACTAGTCCTGGACTTTTTAATGGGATTATGAAGTAGGAATAGGATTGTTCTTTTAAGAAATCAGAATAATTATAAAAGAGATTTCCTTATGATATACAGGACATAAACCTCCCGTCCTGATGTCCTTAGGAAGCATAAGTTACTATCTTTTCCAATGCATATGAAATACATTTACAATTCTTTCTTATAAGAGCTGAGGGGAGTGCAGAGTAATGTAGAAAAGCGACGAAAGAGAGAGGTGAAAGATGAAGAGAGGCTGAGATGGAAGAGCATTGATAGGGAAGTACAATGAGTTGGAATTATGTAGATAAAATACTTGAAAAACATAATTGCAGCAACATGGGAAGAGTCCCCAAAGTGTGCAAGAGTTAGAAATGCATTGACACTGAACTAAGATGACACAGTTCATCTTCTGTTTTATAGATTTTGCCAATAATTTGAGGATGTTAAAACCCTTCACATCATGCAGATGAGTCATTCTGTGCAAGTGCCACTAGGTCCTTCATACCTTGTGAATTCTTTAAATCCTGGGACTTAATTTAATTATTCATGGTATTTCCTCTGCTTTTTCACACAAGAGAATTGAAGTTGAGAACTGGTGCAAGATCAAGAGGTGCATTTGGACAAGAAATGCCATATCTAAATGTGCATGTTACACCAAAGAACTTCCCAATTATAACCCCAACAATTAAATACCTGCACTTATCAGGAAATATGTATCACTGTAGTCATACTTTCTAGTATAATTAATTTTACAACTATTTTTTTTTTAAATCAAAATCAGCAGACATAAAAACACTTTTATGAATACAAGTCAGTATGCCAATATCAGAAAATGACATATCTATATAGGAAAATCTTCATTAGTAGGTAAATGCTTAAAGATCTGTGCTCCACCATAATGTGGGCCTTATGCCTGCAGCATTTTGAAAACGTATCTTATCATACTTCCTACATGCTCTCCACAAACCTGCAAGTCATCATGAGGAAGGCTCCTGCACCAACTTTGGTGGCCCAGTGGTAAAGACTATTGACCAAACCCCAGGTAGGTAGAAGATCAAGTTTTGGAAATAACTTGCTCTTCTCCATAGTCACACAACACACCTGTCTGAGCAGTATCTGCCCCATGTTGGGACAATACAAATGCCAGTCTGTGTACCACATCCAGAAAATACTGGTGCAGTGTGCCTCAACCCTTTCAGTCCTGAGTTATGTTCTAGACATTGAAAAAATATGTCATATACTTTTTGGGCTTCAAAAAGGTTCATATAAAATAAAAGTGCTGTTAAAATGGTTTCCTTAAGTAAAATAAATATTTATTCAATTATTAAAAATAAATAATAATAAAAAGATATTTAATTAGTTCAGCTAGTACTAATATCCCTATTTTACATAGTATGTTTCCTAGCATTCCTGTACTAATTTCCATTAACTAGCTTGCTAAGACAGAAAAAATTGGCTGGGAAAGAAATATATTAGCTGAATTAAATGCAAAAGATGGCACCATTTTTGAAGAGCTGGAGGAAATACAGCAGTTTCATATTACTGTGGACTGCTGTTAACTTGACAACATGAGGTGAACTACTATAAACTGGGAATCAGAATCCTGCCAAGGCCTCAAGGTCAGGCATTCCTGAGTAACCCTATAACATATGCAAAGAAAATGTGGAACTCATGAGTCCCACCGAAACTGAAAGGGTTTAAATTTATATTCACTTGTGCCAATGTTGAGCCTAGTTATCCAATGAAATGCCCTATGGACTCTGACCGTGGAGTCCTCGCCTAAGGGGCTGAAAATCATGTATGGTATCTGTGCCAAGCAGGCAACCTCTTTTGAGTGAGATGGATAGGAAAAAGAAAGGATTTATGGAATCCTACAGAGATATAGATGAGACTTGCAAACTGACTTGGCTTTTCCTTTCACCATCACTTTGATTGTTGCATCAGCCTTCTCAAATGAATTTAAAATCACATAACCTATCAGAGTGCATAATAATATGCGGAAGCTGAATAGCACAAGTGAGAAAACACTGGTACTCTCACCTTGAAAGAGTCTTGTACAGATATTGGGTCTGTCTTCCATAGAATAACAATGCTGCCAGTCTCATGATCTTGCTGTGCTTCAAGGTTTGCAACAGGCAGAGGTCCTAGAATTATCCAAGCAAGATAGTATAAATATAAACATGGGAATAAAGGGTCAAGGAGTGAAGAAGAGTGAAGAGAAACAAGATGTCCTACGTGTAGTGACATTCCCTGTTGCAGGCCAGCTGGCAACATTCCCAGACACTGTCTTGACAACCACAGTATAGGTATGCCCAGGATCCAAGTTGTTGCTGAATGTAACAATTCTTGGCTTGTCTTTGTCTACAGCATGAAATGTGTGCCTCCTTAGCCCCAATGCCACAGTGAAACGATCATATTCACTACAAAGCCATGAAGACCAATATTCACACTTCAATATCCATCAATAGTTTCCCCAACAATCCACAAGAACAGAAAATTTATGACTTTATCATGAACATACGTGACTCCATTGGGTAGATTCCAAGTGATTTGGAAGGAATCTGTGCCAAGTGTGGGCCTAACAGCAGTCACATTTCTTGGGGGAAGAGGGACAGTCCTATATTGAGCTGTTGTTGCCAAGGACACTTGGTTCTCACTAACAGTCTGGACGGAAATGTTGTATGCTCGTCCTTTTTGGGGGAAAAAAAAAGGAACAGGTAAAGATACCACACAGGAAGCATACCATGTAATAACTTGGCACCAAGAGTAGAAAGCAAAAGAAGTTATCACCTGGCACTAATCCATAAAATGCAGCCTGAGCAGGGCCAGGAGGCTCTCCCTCTTTCTCAACAAACAAAATACTTTCTATTGCATCAGGAGGGTCAATGGATACTTTATAATGAGAGTATATCCCAGGAGGGTATGGTGGCTGCCATAACACCAATAGTGTAGTTTCATTGCGAAACCAAACAATAAATCGACCCGGAGTGTTTGGCACTGCAAAGAAGGGATGAGATATTATGTCTTCACTGATCAAAGAATGCTGAAAGAAAAGTTAAAATGAGATGAGCCCCACATACAAGTTGTGAGATTTGCTGAAACATAGACTGCACTTTCTTTGTTTGCATAGACAGTATAGAGCTGAACTTCATAGGAGGCACCAGGTGTGAGGTTCCTCAATGTGAAGGGTGAGGAATCAGAATCAACTGCAATGCTCTTCACACTGTTCTGAGGTTCTGACAGTGGCACAAGCTGCAAAGGACAAAAGTTATTAAAGAAAACAAATACATTTCAAGGGTCTTACTGATATCAGTAACATGACTAGGGTGAGAATGACATATCCTTCCACCAACAACATTTGGTGATAGCAATGAGAGAAGAAAAGGAGAAGTGATATCAATGGTTTTATCATTAATATCACTAGTTTAACCTCCTTATCTAAACAATTTTATTTGGCATCATGATGCATAAGCAAAGTGATAAGGAGAGCATTAAAATACAAAAATGCAGCAATATGAAAAAAGGATACTTGACAAAACGGGAAAACAAAAAAAAAAGAAGTTGGGAACAACTGAATCTTGGCAGCAACTTCTGTGAATAGTAACTGAATACTTTCTTAAGGGTATTCACTACCGAAAAACGAATATCATTTTAACGAACAACTGATAGCTTTGAAGTTGACATCAAATGATACAGTAGTACCAGAAGGACATGAATCAATTAAAGGATATTATAATTATTAATTTAGATGTCAAAATTTTGAATAAAAAAAGAACATGAAATTTCTAACTTTTCTTTTGTCTTGTAACTGAGGCAGTAATGAACAGATTTTGACTAATTATGGCTCATCTTGAAGCTTATGAATTATGCTACAAACCCTAGCATTGTTATTTAAATAAGCAAGGACTAACAAGTTCAAATACAAAGAAAACATACAAAGGAAAAATTTGCTGTACACAAGTGTACATATAACATTTTTCATCTTCACTACTATTAGCAGTACACATACACATGCAAGCTGGAGGTTATATAACTTATACACAGAACATGTGAGAATTTCAAGTCTCTACGTTGCCTAGTTTTTCAGTAATAACAAAATTAAAATGTAAAAATGACAAAAAACATGTTTTTGGGATACTGCTTTCAAAGAAAATTACTGTTCATACTCAAAAACTAAAAATTCTAACATATTTGATTATAAGTAGACTCCATCCTGGATATGTAAAGAAAATCCTATTTACATTAATATTAAGACATTTAAAAAAATCACCCCAACTGACCATTTTTTGCCACTTTTCAGGAGCAAAGACTCTGTGTGGACAAAGTGTGGGCATACACATGGACATTCCAACTCATCTTACAGTGTGATGAAAAAGTGGTGACAAACATTGGACTCTAACAAGTTTTTTTCCTCATATAGAGTTGCCTGGTGTAAGTGGGCCCCCATTTTATATAATCTGAAATTGATACCAGAGCTACTGAACATGACTGAAGCATTGTCTGAATTGAATTCATTTGACATTGAATTAAAACAACTTCAAAGTCTTTCTGCTGAGTAGGTTGTTGAAAATTTCCCATTGGAAATTCCAATAATATATGGATCCTGTGCAACTTACACAAAGCAGATACCTATTCCATTTACCAATTTTTATTTGATTTTAAAACCCCTAAGTGAATTTGTGTCCACACTATATATATATAATGAGGGCCACAAAACACCCATCTCACCTTTCACAGGAAATACAAAGTACATAATGCAAAAGAAAAGACAAATTACATAACATCATGAGGTGTATTTATAGATCCTACATTGGTGGACTCATTAGTTCATAGGAAATTCAGACCATCATGAAGTAATTTTCTTCTATCATATGGCATGAGTGGCTGGCAAAGCTCTTAAAATGCCAATGTTGATGTTGGTGAGCCAGTTAAAGGCTTCCAAAAGAACATTACATATATCTGTGATATTGCCTGGGTCTTTCCAAGGGGGCACTAATGGATGATGTGCTGCATAGTCTGTTCCTCATGACCACAATCGCACAATGGGTTGTCCCTCGTTTTCCAGTGGTGGAGGAGCTGGGTGCAGCAACCTTGACCTTTCTGGATGTGGTTCAATATTGACCATTCCCAGCAGCTGAGGTCAAAGCAGGGAGGCTGCACAGTCAGGTCTGAGACCAGCGACCTGTCTGAGATGCTGGTGTTTTTCCAGAGTGCTTTCCATCATTCCTCCACATTGAAGGAGGGCAGGTCGAGAGCTGCTGCCTGCTCCCAGAAAAGAAGTAGGATTTTAGCAGCTTTTTCAGTGGGTCGTGTATTATGCAATGGATGGGTAGATTCACGTTGGCTGACATGGATTCGAAGGCATGTGATTCCCTTCATATGGCTGGAGGCATGATGTTGGTGAGCACGGGTAGACATGCAGTTGGAGTTGGCTTCAGGGTGGCAGTGATGATGCGCATCGCTCCATTGAATGTCAATCTTTGTAGTGTGGAAGCTGTGGGCCCAGACTGATGAGCAGTATTCTGTCACTGAATAGACCAGCAAGAATGCTGTTGTCCACAATGTCTTGGCACTTGCTCCCCATATTGTTCCAGAGAGATTGCAAAGTTCACCCTAGTCTTCACCTTTTGACCTGCCTTTTCAAGATGCACCTTGAATGTCAACGAACAGTCAAGCATGACACTGAGGTACGTAGGCACGTCCTTGTGCTTCACATGGTGGCATAGAAGTCAATGTTGAGCCTTGCCTTGGCCAATTTGTTGTCCAGGTGGAAGGTTGTCACCATGGTTTTGCCTGGGTTCAGGTGCAGTTTCCAGATGTAGAAGTACTGCACTAGGATGTTGAAGTCAGAGGTCAGTGTGGTACTGATGGCAGGTTGGTGTGCTGGGCTGCCAAAGCAATGTTGTTGGCGTAAGTGAACTTTGTTGATGATGTATGCAGCAGGCTGCTGGCGTACAAATTAAACAGCGACAGAGTGAGCACAGAGCCTCGAGGGAGTCCCATGGTGAAGACTCGTTCTTTGCTGACCTGTCCGTGGAGGTGGACGCAGTAGCAGCAATCGCTTGTGAAAGGGTTGATGAACTGCAAGGTCTTCTGGCATTTGATGACTCTGGATGCCATGTAGAGAAGCCCATCACGCCAGACCATATCATATGCGAATGATAGATCAATCAGTGCTACCCCTGTCTTCTGCTTGTTTTCAAAGCTGGCCTCTATTAGGTTGGTTGGGGATAGCACCTGGTTGCAACAATCATGCCCAGGGCGAAAACCAGCCTGCTCTTTTGGAAGAGCTTCAATAGTGGGGGAGAGGCAGGTCAAGAGTGGTCTCTCCATGAACTTGCTTGCTATGCAAAGCAACAAGATTGGCTGGTAGCTGTTTGCTTCCTGAGGCAGCTTACCTGGCTTGAGGGGGCCTGGTCATCTCCTCCACTGAGTAAGGAGATGAAATAGTAGTGCTGTGTTGGTAACAGACTGCAGGAGGTTGTGGAAGTATTCTTTTTGCACCTATCTGTGAAATCTTTTGTCGGTTGCAGCATCTTGAAGTATAGGAGGAGACAGGTTGTGACAGCCTTTGTCAACATCCTCATTGGCTTTGGCTTCACCACATCTGCTGCTCCCAGGTGTCGGAGAAGCAACCATGCCTTCCTTACCATGAAGTAATGATTGGTTGAAAATGAGTAGGTTACTTGTAGAGGTCACTGCAGTCATCATGTGATCATGCCTCGGCAGAGCAGGTCAGTAGGTAGGTTGTTTCCCCTGACCTGATTGCCCCAATGAAGTACAAGGTGGGCACAAAGTTTATTATAAAAAAAAAAATTATGGAGGTTTACCTACGAAAACCTCAAACCTTGCAGGATGACAGCAGAAAAGTGTAAGTTTTTTCTTAGTCACTTGCTCATTTTGAACAGAACCAATCAAGCATTGACTAAAAATTTATTATTTCACTTTTTCAATGATTTTTTACCAAGTTTCCTTCAGGAACTCCATTGATTCCACTCTCTTTTCTTCCATTTTCAGGTTAGTGATAGCAGAGCACTTTGTTGAAAAAGTTTAAAATGCAAAAATCCCTGAAGTAGGAAATAAGAATATAAATTTTAGTGGATAGAGATGCATTATAACAAAGACTTTTCGGGACACATTGGTTTCCTCTTAATCCTTCGAGTCAGTAATTTAAAAGGGCAGAACATTCCTGACTGCAGTAATATCAGACATCAGAGTAATGTCAAGTGCTCAGGAAAGGTTAATAACAGAAGACTCTGGGAGGAGTTCCTTGATAAGGTGAGTTGGGCCAGATCGCTCCCATTTAGGTACCTCTCCAACATTAGTACACCTGTTGGATTTTTGTCTTAGGTGTCCTTTAAAGCACAATTCAAGTAAATCCAAGCACATTAAAAATTGTGATGGAGCACCATTCCCATTTCATGGAACTTCTCATTGAGCCTTCTGATCATATTTGAGGTTCCTTGCTAACATATATGTCCTGAAAAACATTTGCATTTGAGTAATCATCATGCACATACATCTGCAAAATGATTTTTATGCACTCTTTCCAATTCAGGGGTGGCATTTTCATTCACTTTCACTGAAGTACTCAGTCATCACTCACTTCTGAATGGAAAAAAGAGCAAAATCAGCAAAGTTCCTGAGGGAAACAGAGACAAAATCAGTTTATAAATGAATATTCAGTCAGTGGTTCCATGTTGATTCTGTTACAAATGAACTAGTGACTCCAAAGAAACTTTCACTTTCCTTTTGTCATTGAGCAAGATTAAAACTTCTTGGTTTTTATAGTTAAGCCTCCAGAATTGTTTCTATCTGAAAACATACTTTGTAGTGAACCCCATTGTGAACTTGCACATTTCTCTCTATGCATAGATTTCAAATTCCATACTTGAATTTCAATTTTCTGCTTCCATCATAAGCCACACAACTGAGACATGAGTAGAAATGAAAAGTTGATTCTTAATGAGTTCAAAACTTATATATATTTCCACCCAAGGAACACAAGAGAATATACTTCAGATATATTAATTGCTTCATGATTAGAGATCTTTTAGAATAAGTTATGAGTAGACGGTGGACCTATGTATATATTCCTGGCACCAGTGGGAGCAAAATAAGCCTAGGTCATTAGATCACATTCCATGCATGAGGTCATGGTCATTGTTGGAATTAGTTGGTCATATTTTCCCCCATATATTTTTTGCAACCATGTCCATAGTTTTCTAATAGCCAAATCCCCTGGAAGTCAGGAAATCCCCTGGATTTCCTGACTTAGTTCATTATCAATAATATAAATATGACAATTTCTAGGTAAATAAATGCACTTTAGTGCAAAAATACAGCTTTTTTGATAATAGCATATGGCACTTCTACTTCTATACAAACTTAGGTGCCTGATTGGGTGCTCAAGGGTACTTCTGGCATTGGCCTGCTGTCCATGCAGAGACATTGAAAATGCCTGAAATCCTTGCAATAGTTAATGCCAATTCATTGTGTTAAAAGCCAGCATTGTGGCAACCTGTAACATAACTGGCTATCAAGCAACATCTATGCTAAACATGTGAATGAAAATACCTTTAGTGTGAAGGCCGAGTACCCTCCAACAGCAGGAGGGTCCCATGAAATAGTTGCAGCTTTTCCAGATCTCACAATGAAAGAAAGATTTGCAGGAGGATCAGGTACTGTGGAAGAAAAAAACCAAAGGGTATCCTGAATTTCATGACCTTATAAATCCCAAATTAAAAAGGAATAGGTTACTTTTGAGAAATGGCCCCACACAAAGTAGGTCCCCAAGGAATCCCATTATACAAAATCTAAAACATATTCATTAAGGACTAGGGTTCTGAAGTGAATTGAAAATATACCTCAGTAAAACTTCCAACAGTCAATTCCTTCAAAGGTAAGTTTCTCGAGTCACTTTCTGTCTATAAAATTGCCTGACTTGTTCGTTCCCAAAATGGCAAATTAATCAGTGGTGGCACATGAGTACCACAGTACAGATACAATTTTGACAATTATGAACAAAAACGTGTGCAGGATTTCTATTTACTGTCAGAATTCCCAATCTCACAAAATAAGCAGCAGGGAGCAGAACCATTAATACAATGCCAGGACAGACTGATCAATACTTACAAATGAAATAAGGAAAAATAAAGAAAGAAAACAGAAAATGAAAAAGCTATTCCCCCATGAGACTGGTTCAGATTCCTCTCTTCCACCTCTCAATGAAAATGATAGAATCCAGGATAATTATTGAGCTATTTTTGCTTTCAATATTGAAATCTGAACTTCACATCCACAACACAGCTGCAGCAAGAGGATGGGTTTACATGGCCTTTGCAGACAATTGTCAAGACTATGACTAATTTGTTCCATCCAATGTACCAACCCAATAAGTGCTTTCACAGCAATTCTGGTATAAAACTCATCTCGTCTATTCTATTTCAACCTTGAAATAAGACACATAGGCAAATGTTGGATGTGAAAAAAGAAAGAGTTATCCATTCTAGTCTCCTCAATCCTCAAGACCAGTCCTTAAAATTAGAGAAAACTTAGTTCATATTCAGGTGTATAGTTGCACAACCCAAAGTCAATCATGAGATATCAGACTAGACAGAAGTGTGATTACCAGGACAGGATCAAATAACATGGTCAGTATCAAATGATGTCAATGGTCTTTGCATGCCTGGATTCCTCAGTATGCAATGGGTTTCTATGAGCAGGCAACATTTGCAGAAAACAACTCTTGGACTTCCTTGTTTCAATGACTCGTATCATTTTCCTCTCTGCTAACAGAGATGCTCATCCATTTCTTGTCCAAGAAAAAAAGGAAGAGGGGGGATACATACAGCAATTTCCAAACTTCTTTGAATCACTACCCACTTGCTGAGGCACTAAAAATTTTGCAACCCAATAGAATTCAGAACGAAATATTTCCAAAGTAACTAGTCAGTAACCTGTGCACAAGCATGGAATAATTTAAAGGCAATGAATGGCCATAGAGGGCAGCAGTTGCCACCCTCCTCCTGCCCAATTCATCCTCCACTGGCTGACCATGTGAGAAAACAGGATGCGGCAAAAAACACCCCAAATTTCTCCCTGTGCTTCATTAATTGTCATGGCAAAGGATGGGGAGCTGACACCAAGCGAAAACAAAGGGCAGCCCAAAGATCAGGACATTAACTTCGAATCATTGCTTCGTAGGACTATGTGGTATGTGGGCTTTTATTGGCAGTTTAACACTGCTCTGCGGACATCGCAACCCATCACACACGTTTCCAAATATTAGTGGCCTTTGGCCACACTGTGTGGACCTTTTTGCTATGGCTATGGGAGAGCACACACAATCGCGCTGTGTGCATGAATGTGTAACGCGAGCAAGCACACATGCCACCGACCACCACCACAGAAGATTTTATTATATAGATTATGATGTGATGCAGAACAAGGTATTGTCAATGCAATTATGACATGAAGAAAACCAATCAACCTTTTCTGCAGGGCATGTTTTATCCCGAGTGGATGTGGATATAATGATTTTTATACTGGGAAAATGTAAGCAACCCACCTTGATACCGCTTGCGACCCACCAGTGGGTCACAAGAGACCAAGAGACAAACGGTCGCGGTATTCCTTCGTCTTGTGCACACTGTCAAATCCCGTGAACACTGCACATAAACCTCAACTTCGTTATGTGCACACTATTTCCCGATGAGGAATGTACCTCTACAAACACGTTCAACACAGATCGCGCAGCCCTGACGGCGATCAGGATGAACGTAAGGACTTGGTATGGTAGCCCTTGTTGCCCACGCGTAGGAGATACGATTGTCTCTACGACTGCCTTTTCTCTTCGAGTGCCAACCTAAACCTCGGTACACCCGAACGTCTATGCCTTTGTCAGGATGCACAAGTTAAGCACACACTTTTTCACATGCACAAAACACCGAACTCCTTTGGTATCTGTTGAACTCTTGCAACTAAGGGAAGTCTGTTCACACAAGGGAACCAGTCCCTGAGCCGGAAGGAGTTTACCGGTTTTTGTTTAGGGTGGCATCCCCCTCACTATCACCTTCATCTCATCCGAGATGGGAAGATGATACATGACGCCTGCCTATATAAGCTTAAACATGTTCATGCAGTGTCATAAGTGGGATTTTCATAATCACTGAAGAATGGCAGTCCGTGATCCTGACATGGCAACTGACATGGTATGACCTTCGGGATGATGCTTAGCCAGAGAGCTAAGATTCAGCTTGTCTAAATGTACCTGCTCACCATTACGTCTGGCAGCACTTTCCGCCATGGGAGTCTGGTAGAACAGCACTCACTTCTAAAGTAACAGTCGTAGGTTGTAGTATGCACACCTATGACACCCACAACTGACTTTAATCACCTCTAGCAGTGTGCGCAATTGGTGTGCACGGTACAAAACTAGGTATGCACAAGGCGAAGGTTGTGCAAACTAGGTGTGCACAAGACGAAGGAATATCGGTCGTAACCCACAGTTTGGGAACTGCTGGCATAGAAGAAAATCAGTAAATGTATGAACTTTTGTAGCTTCACTTTGGCTTTAGTTCACACATTCCATTCAAAAGGGTTACAATGGCTATTATGTTGACATACATACATGTCCACCAATCACTAGGGTAGATATGAAAAATTCACCAATGATTTTTTAAATATCTATGGTATGAAATTTTTAGTATTCACAAAATTTCCACATCCCATATACCCATAAGGGAAGCATCATTCCCTGGTGGCACCTTAATATCAGCTTGTTATGTGCAGGCTGTGCTAAGCAGTCCCCTTCCCACCAAAAGAGGTAGATGTACAGGGTGTCCATAACGTAACTTTACATAGCTATTTTTTTAGTTGTCACGAACTGAAATTTTACACTAACATAGTCTTAAAGAGGACTAAATTCTTCATTCCAGAACACTAATAATATTCATTTTTCTCCATCTCAGGAACATGAAAAAATAATATTTTGATAACTGCCGGAAAAGCTAAGTTTCTCGCAAAGAGTAAAGATCATGGAGTGGTATTTTGCGTCAAAATCTGTGGCAGAAACACAGGCAGCGATTCATGGGGCTCAGGGGGCTCAAGCCCCCCAAATTTCTCAACAAATCACTGCCTATGGGCAGAAACACAAAAGAAGTTCAAATGCCATTGCAAGACATCCTTCTCACCCAGCCATTCATGATCTTGTTAGGATGTTTCGGGAGACAGGGTCAGTTCAAGACCAACCAAAACAAGGTTGACCTTCAGGAGAAGTAATGCTCTTTGCGAGTAACTGAGCATTTTCAGAAGTTGTCAAAATGTTAGTTTTCAGGTACCTGGGATGGAGAAAAATGAATACTAGGTGTTCCAGAATGAAGAATTTAGTCCTCTTTAAGACTATGTCAGCGTAAAATTTCAGTTCGTGACGACTAAAAAAATAGTTATGTAAAGTTACTTTATGGACACCCTGTACATGTACAGGAGGTAGATCCTGTGGTGAGCCAATGACACTTAATACTGCATTTGTGGCATAACCAGCTTATGGTCATCAGGAGAATCTTATGTTCTAAAATAGAGCAAAAGAGCATAGCAACTATTATGCCAAGACTCCTGCAAGACTTGTGGGCTATATATTGAATCAAGGATGTAGAAAGCAAGAAACCAACAATGAGCATTTTGTCATCATTATGACAGAATTAAGAAAGTTATAAGAACCTTATCCATACATAAAGAACAGGTTATCTCAAACGATCTTTTTGGAAAGGCCTGAGAGACTATGATCAGGATAAAAGAACCTATTGTTATACCATCACTTATAAGTGGACACAAGTCCACTTCAAGGCAGAAAAATAACCCTGAAGTGAAATGTGATGAGTCCTATTTTATTTTAGTACAATTTACCTCATGCAATTTTTCAAGATGGAAGTATTCAGAAAACTTGGTCTTGTGAAACTTAACCTTTTGATCCATTTTTAAACATGACACACCTTGATAGTGCAGTGATCTAAACAGCTTGTAGATAAAGAAATTTTGCCCAAAGGAGAAAGAAATGATGATGTACTCCTCTCTCCTTAATTACACCTCCTGCTCTATAAAAAGTGCCATAGAATATACAAAAAAGACACTGAGGCTCAAAAGCAGACACCTCATTAAGGTGAGATAAAGGGATCTGTAAGCTCAAAAGCAGACACCTCATTAAGGTGAGATAAAGGGATCTGTAAGCTCAAAAGCTCTTTTTCTCCCATAGGAGTCCACAGATTCTTAAAGAACCATTACAAAAGAAGGTTTAAGCATTCAGGCCTAAATCCTCTTCAAATCATGCATGATTCTTCTTCTGTTTTTCTTATTTTCAAGATAGAGAGACCCCTTGGTTTCTTGTATAGCAAGGAAAAGTCTTACCTGTGGTAATAGAAGCGGTCCATGTGAGGAAGTCACTGATGGTGTCATTGGAATAGTACAAGCGGAAGTCATATTTTGTTCCTGGGAGAGCATGTGTCAACTCAATACCATTGGCAATTTCAGGAGGGTAAAAAGTTTTATTCGCAGTGGGTCTCCCCTGAGGGGGACTATAATCAAGACGGTAAAACCCATCCTGCTGCCCCACCTCCCATGGGATCTGAATCACGACATCAGCACCAATGGTGAACTTCACCTGTTAAAAATTCCCAAGTATAAATCTTGTTTATTGTATCACATGCAGACTTAGCCCAATTCCAGGCCAACATGTTATTTTCCCTAAAGGCAATTACCAAAAGATTGAGGAGGATGAGCACAAAGGGCCAAGCAATCATCATCCAAAGCTGCACTGCTGCACCAAGAAGGTGAACGCATCATATGGACCAATTCTTGTTTGTGGCTTTCTTGAGATTCCTGAAGAGATGTCACCTGCTTTCATACATTCCACTTCCTATGTTTGAAGGCTAACAAAAGGCCTTCCAAAGATAAACAGGCCTTAACCAAGGAATATCATAGATCTTAGGGTTGGGTCTCAGCTGCCAGTTCACCTACAAAAGTAAGGGAGAATGAGGCTAGCTAGACCTGGACAATAAGCTTATGAGTAGGACTGCAGTATAAGAGTGATCCAGTTCCCAATGCTATTTATTTGGATCACTAGGATTTTCCCCTCTTAATGAAGTAGGCTAACATTTTTATCTATCTTTGACAGTTTCAGATGACTAAGAATCTTTCCATGCACATCAGATTCAATTGACTTCGATACCTGAAGTAAAATGGCAGGGTTTGAAAAAAATACTAGCTTTGCACCTTTTGGTAGCATATATGCTTAAGAAGTTCCAAATTTCTTTTGGAGATATGTTGACATATGGCCAGTTGGACTGCATATGGTCTTAGAGAGAGCTTAGAGAAGAGCTAGGAAGAAAACCAGTTTGACAGGTGCAATCCCTTGGGCCCATTAAGTCCTAAACTAACTAGGAGATTTTTGTCAATTTTTCCCTTCATGCCAGAATGTGAGTCATAAACCACTGATTAAGGTCTCACTTCAGACCTTGAGAGAAATCATAGTTGCCAGAAATGGAAAGAGAATGCTTCATGCAGGAAAATTCAATTTTTTTGGTGTATACCAAAAAATACTTGGTATATATTTGGTGGGTTTTTTGGCTAATATACTCAAACTTGACAAAGTAACTTGAAAAATGTTAAAGTAGAAAAGTACATGTCCTATCTCTTCCACAGCACAGGTCTAAGTGGGGACAACAGAGAGAATATCAATATTTTGAATCCCTACCAGGGCAGGTTGAGAAGGTGCTAATTGCATTTCCTCATTTCTCCTCAGCCACTCATTAATCATGACAACAATCATCCAGTGAGAGATAAGAAACTAGCCCTTCTCAGAGTGAATGGATCATATAAATACATGGCCACCAATCCCCCAACTTTTTGGAGGGGGCATAATTTTCATCCTCTCCTCTGCATATTTTACTCCAAGTGCAAATTAGTAGGCCAAGTCTTTTTCCATTGAAAACTAACTTCAAATAAAATGGGTAGAGATTAGGGCTGTCATGATAGGTCGATACCACTATAGATGGTTGGAGATATTGATAATTTTTCAACCATCATGACGTATGGGCAAAATATTTTATAAGGGAAATGTTCCATTGGATTGAGGCGAGTACAGTACAATACAGTCCATCTGAGCAGGGCAACAAAGACACAGCATGACCTGCACGGGTTTGCAATTTTTCAGGGCATTTCCAGAGTTATTGGGGAAAAAATGGCAAAAAATTGATTTACAAAACTGGCATCCAGCTTAAGTTTCCTACACAGTATGGGTATTAAACTTAGACCAATAGGCTCCATTAAACATTGATCACCTGAAGTGGGATGGTTTTTCATTACTGCTGCACCTTTCTATTTCAATAAATTCAACACTTGCTTGGCGAATCTCGCATTTTGACTAATATGATATGTCAGCAAACATGGAAAACTCTCATAGCCAATTCATTTTTGAGCAAGAAAAATTGTCATCTGACATGAAGAAAGGTGATGGCCAATGCCTTCTTTTCTGGAAATATGGAAGCTTCAGGTCAAGCCAAATCAGATACAATTGGAAGGGAAGCAGCAGAACAAAAACCATTGTCAAAACTGTGTTACGTCAGTAACACGACATGAATGGAGGCCTTTTTTTATCCATTGGAGGAATGAGACAATTTTGACCAGAACAGATACAGGTATCTATGCTCTATAAGACACTGTTGGCATAGAATTTCTGGACCAAACCATTTTTAAGAGATAGTATCATACATGATTTCATTTTGAGTCTAGTGTCATATCAGTAACTTTGGAACTGCCCATCATGATCAAATTCTGCAAATGCTGGGATTGACTATATGAAAGATGGGAAGGAAAAAACAAAACATGTCAGATTGGAGACAGGAAGTGGGAAAGGAGAGGGAGAGAAAAAGATTTATTTCACTTCTGTTTCAGTCTTCGGGGCTGAAAGAAATGGGCTGTCAGTCAGATAGAACATGAAGAAAAACAACTGCTTTCCTTAATGACTACAGAAATCTCATTACTGCCATTGTTATTCCCTGCATTTCATTTTAGTCTCTTAGTCTCTTTCCAATTTAGGGCAGCACAGGGTCCCTCAATTACATATTTGCAAATGCTGATTATGACACATTTCTTCCATCATGCAAGAAAAGCAGTTTCTTTTCCCCATGAATTCAACCTTTTTTTCTTAGATACTCTTGACACTAGTCAACAGAACTTATGAATGGATGTCAGTTCCATAATTTAAAAAATCAAATATATAAAATATCAGATTCAGGTGAAAATTTTACCAAATGGTTTAGCAAAAGTTTCTTTACAATAGAGTTTCCTGAGGTCAAAACCAACAGAAATAATTTCTCAAGCTGATTTAACTTTTTAATCTCTAATTACACATCACAGAAGTATAACCAACTGGGGCATTCCTCATTACCTGGCTATTGGCCTACATTTCCTAAATGAACTCTCTTCAGAACTATGCCCTGGTAAGATCACCCTCCAAGTCACCTTTCCAAATAACAATCTCGCCTTGACAAAATTAATATTGTAGCATTTCATTCAATGCATTTCACAACACATACTTCCCCACATAACCTTATTTAGACGTAGTTGAAAGTTGCAGGTCAACTGTATATATATGCCAATGCTTAGTCTAGGCTAGGCCTATAGCGTTGCACTTTTGGAGCGAGGACGAGAACATATTCTGAATCCATGTTACCATAGATTTTGTCCTAGGAGATCTACACCATAGTTGAAAGAGGAAACGACATTCTTATATACTCAGAAGAGAAATGAATCACAAATAAAACTACGAAGCAAGACAGTTAGACCGCAAACAGAACACTAACAAAATGCTGAGCCCAACCTAGGACAGAATAGGCTCCAACTTCAATCAACGAATCAACAACGTTCGACATTAGACAAAACGACCTACTTTCCCCAGTGTTCAGCCATGTTAACCACAAGAGTCAGAGATATCCCATCTTTGAAAAGAATTAAGGTTGAATGCTTCAACATACATGCATTTAAAAAAAAAAGCTTTAAGAAGGACGAAACAGTCACAATCTCTCAGGGAAAAAAACATTATCTATCATGTTCGAATATTTTCGAACGTTCCAATATTTTCAGACACAGATTCTAGCTTCTAGATTGAAACGACGAAACACAAATCCCACATCCCTGCTAGAATTGCATGTGCTTCATATGGAACACGTGGTAACCCGTTTTGTCTGGTCGGCCCAATGCTAAAACCTCCTTTAGTTAACGGTCCTTTAGGAATACATGGATTTCTATGGGGGGGGGGGGGGGGGAAAGAACTCTTTAGTTTAAAGGCCCCTTTATCTACCCTAAATGGGGTTTGTGCATTCGGACCTACGTTTTCATCTCGTTTTAATGTCCGTTTCTCATATGATACAGGAAGAACAGCATGCTGCCGAAAATATGGCAGAATTAGAAACAATATGGTAGCCAGTATGGAATGTTAAATCCAGAGTAAAAGGTAACCATTACAGCACGTTGTGCTGTGGTTTGGTCATCAGACCGCACAATGTAGCCTAAGGAGACCAGACGTTCCAGTTTTACCGAGACAGTCCAAAATTGAATTTTCCTTTCCATCCTGGTGTTAGAGTTCCCATCGCAGGGACTAACATCCTGGCAAAAATGTCCAGGTTTTTCCTGAAAAAAATCTGGTCACCCTCGCATAGCCTAAGCCAGGCAACAGACAGCATGCCCTGTCAAACCAAAACACTATCCTGAATTGGTTTGCTGTTACAATGGACATGGACACAACATAATGGCTACTGTGGAGGCCTTCTACACAGAAACATGTTTGTGCACTGGTTTTTACAAGCCCTTTACAGGCCTTACAGGCCCACCCAGAGGGAAGGGAGGGAGGGGGCATAGGGACAATCTGCCATGGGCCTGCCTAAATTTTCTATACATCTCTCACTTCCATAACCGATATAGGGCTGCAATGTCGAATCCAAGCGAGGAAACCTAGCATTTTTAATTATTGAAGTAAATTCCGACATCGCCACCGACGACAACGTCGGCCAACGACTCCTTCAAAATGCATCTCTCTCTACCACCCAAGTAACACAAGATATTACAGCAACGTTTAGGAAATATTGAAGAACAATGTTGCATCTATGTGTAAATGTCCAAACGTCAACGTTGCTCAAATGTTGCGAAGGAACATTGCATTTACGTTGCAAATCGCTACTTATTCATTTCATATACGTTGCAGATACGTTTCAGGATTTATGTTGCTGCAATGTTGATTAAAAACGTTGCTTCACGGGCACCTAATCTGGGCCTGTATTGGCATAACGGAAAAGCGTAGGCTTCACTGGTCCTGAACTGGACCGATATTCGACCAACATTGAATTATTTATTTCATCCATTCGGAGGCCTTCTACACAGAAACATGTTTGTGCACTGGTTTTTACAAGCCTCAGGTGTTTAAAGCTATGATAAAGAAGTTTCTTTATCATATCAGGCAGTGTTCAGGATATCAAGAGGCCTGGGAAGCCAATCACACCTGTGGGCATGAACTCAACATCACCTGTGAATTAATTGAAAGTAAAGTCTAAATTTGCAAAAGGGAAATATAATGCAAAAGAGTTTAGAGCCCAAAGAGCTCAGCAGGGTCCTTGTCAGAGGCACAGTCCCACTTAAATTGTTAGTGTGTATGATTATTTTCAGAATCTCCTGCTTAGCAATGTTAAAATAAAAAATGGTATAGAATATGCCCAATTAAAAATTTCAGATGGTTTTTCCAGCTAGAACCAGTTACATACACTACCTAAAACCAGCTGGTTTTAAGCTGGTTCAATCTGTAAAACAGATCATGGTTCCAGCTGGTATGCAGATGGAATAGTCCAGTTAACTTCAGATTTCTCATATTATTGTTCATAGAAACTGATTTTTTTTTTTCCTGATACATGGAGTAATAGAGTCACCCTTGTGCAGGCCCACCCAGAGGGAAGGGAGGGAGGGGGCATAGGGACAATCTGCCATGGGCCTTGCATATGATAACCTCAAGGGGGCCTCCAATGAGATCCAATGCCAAGATCACAAAAGGGCCCATCCAGCCATCCCCATTCATACATACCTCATTCATACCTCTGGTTTAGTTTAGCCACAAGTCACTGGAAACCTCTGGGTGGGCCTGCCCTTCTGTCACAGGGTGGCTGATTTGATTAGTAGTCCCCCATCCTTCCTCTCTTTCTCTTTCTCCACATTAATCAAGCAGTGTTCCCTTTTGTCCCAGAGCCACCTGGCATCTTAAATTGATGATTTAAAGAATTTTGCAACAATCCTCCTTTCATGCCAAATTATTATTTGCAGAATTCAAAGTGTAACCAGCAGAAAACATATAATACACATACCTTGAAAAGGGGGCCACTATTCCATAATTTTCTCTAAGTTTGAATAAATATATATGAGCTTGTCAAACAGGCAACATGCCATATCAGGACATTACAGGAAATCCAGCCTGAAACCAGCTTCATTACTACTTAATCCCTCAATCTGCTATCCGAATTAAATACCCTACCTGAGCATCGGACTAATCTCTCACGATAAAAACTGAAATTTTCCTTTCCATCACAAGTAGCTAAAACAGACTACAAACAGCTACGATGTGAAATCGAAAGATAAAAAAAAACCTTTCCAAACAAACACTAAAGATAGGAATCGCGACTGCGACTATATTGGCCGATGTAAAAGGGAAAATTTCAAGGTGTCAACATATATCGAAAACGAATTCATACAGCTATGATGTCGAGTTGAAGGGAGAAAAAAAGCAACTCTCCAAACATACCGACTGGATCCAGAAATCGCCACAAGCAAATATTTATGACGGTATGGAAAGGAAATTTTATTTCCATCAACCATTGTCAAAACCGACTTCAAATGGATAGGATCTGGAATCAAAGGGAGAAAAAAAAGGCAACATTTCAAGCATTCAAGCAAAAAAAAAAAGCGCCACCTGCAACAATGGCCGACGACGTCATGGAAAATTAGTATATGCATTCCCCATAGCCTAAACCGAGGCCACATAGGCAAAGTCGATGTGAAGCAAGAAAACCCAACTTCATGAACGATACGACTTAATTCGGCAATGGCCACCTGCGAATACGTCAACCGAGGATACTGGAAATGTTTAAATGCATCTCCCATGGCCTAAATCGAAGACACAGCTGTGATGTATCGAAGCAAGAAAACAAATTTCTTTCGAAATTTGAATTCGAAAATTTCTTTACGATCCAAGTGAATTCGACAATCGCCACATAAGACTGTCCGCCAAAGACAACAATAATTTTTAAATGCCTCACCCACAGCGAAAACCCAGTTCATGAAGCTGAGGGGTAAACCCGAACAAAGAAAAGCCTGAAAGATTAGACTGAATTCGGCAATCGTCACATGCGATTATGTCTCCCTACGACAAAGCAAATTTCCTTGCCATCACCCAATAGCCAAAATAGAGGTAAGAGAGCTGCGATATCGTAACTTAGCAAGAAAACAACAATATCTTAACGATCCGACTAAATTCGGTGAACGCCACCTGCGACCATGAATGCTACGACACCGGATATTTTTTAATGCTTCACCAAAAGCAAAGCAAAGTCATAGAGTTCGAATTGAATCAAGAAAACCCTATTTTCTTAAAGATCACACTAAATTCCGAAATCGCCAACATCGACAAAGTCGGCCAACGACACCTGCATCACTCACTGCCATAACCGATATAGGGCTGCGATGTCGAATCCAAGCGAGGAAACCCAGCTTTTTTTTAAATAGTCAAGTTAATTCCGACATCGCCACCGGCAACCAGGTCGGCCAGCGACACCAGGAAATTTTCTGTGCATCATTCACAGCCATAACCGACGTCATTACAGCTGCGCTGTCTTATCAAAAGCCTGGTATACTTTACCAGGCTTTTTTAAATATACAAGTGAATTCCGCCAACACAACCTGCGACCAAGTCGGGCAAAGACACCTGCAACACTTCCATGCATCACTCATTGCCTTGACCTATATCATAGGGCTACGATGTCGAATCCAAGGGAGGAAAGTCAGCATTTTTAAATAACCAAGTGACTTCCGGCATCGCCACCGGCGACAAAGTCGGCCAACGACTCCTTCAAAACTTCTATGCATTACTCACTGCCATAACCGACGTCATACGGCTCCGAAGTCATATTGAAGCAAGGAAACCCAGCTTTTTTAAATATCCAAGTTAATACCGCCATTGCAACCGGCAACCAAGTCGGCCAACGACACGTTCAAATTTTCCATGCAACACTCACTACCATCAACGACATCATAGGGCTACAATGTCCTGTCCTAAGCAATAAAAACCAGATTTTTTAAAGATTCTAGTGAATTCGGCAAGAGCTACACTCAACCAAGTCGACCGACACGTTCAAAATTTGTATGCATCACTCGCCGCCATAACCGACGTGATAAGCCTGCGATGTCGAATCTAAGCGAGGAAATCCAGCATTTTTAACGTCCAACGACTCCTGCAACAATTCTATTCATCACTCTGGTTTTGATGCTTCATTTTTTATCCTAAACGGAGACTCTTCCAAAGCTATTTCGTTTTCATTGTGTGGATGATGGCATTCTTCCAATAGTGTGTTTGTTGATTCATCTGCTATGACGTATTAAGGTCCTTTTGAAACCTCAAAATATCTATGCATCACTCACAGCCATAACCGATATAATAGAAACCTAGCATTTTTAATTATCGAAGTAAATTCCGACATCGCCACCAACGACAAAGTCGGCCAACGACTCCTTCAAAATGCATCTTTCTCTACCACCCAAGTAACACAAGATATTACAGCAACGTTTAGGAAATATTGATGAACAATGTTGCATCTATGTGTAAAGTCCAAAACGTCAACGTTGCTCAAATGTTGCGAAGGAACATTGCATTTACGTTGCAAATCGCTACTTATTCATTTCATATACGTTGCAGATACGTTTCAGGATTTATGTTGCTGCAATGTTGATTAAAAACGTTGCTTCACGGGCACCTAATCTGGGCCTGTATTGGCATAAAGGAAAAGCGTAGGCTTCACTGGTCCTGAACTGGACCGATATTCGACCAACATTGAATTATTTATTTCATCCATTCGCACCATATACATTACCACTCTATTCAGACATTCTCATCAACTGGACGAAGCGTGTACTGGTTTTACTGTATTATGCATGGGTAGAGGACCCATGCATAATACAGTGACTGTAACATGTACAGGCAGGAGACAGTACATTTTTGCAGGTGAACTTCCCCTGGATGTGCTAAATTGCACAATACAGGAAAAGGTCCAACCGCAATATTCTATGGAGTGTCCACGAGATCAATCCTTCGTTTTCTCAGCTGGTACCATGAATGAGAACAGGATTGAGATCACAGACTCACTACCAACGTTTTATTGCCCTGTAGGATGAAAGGGATCTTTTTGGAAATATGAGATTTTTTTATCTTGACCCCATTACCTCCATTGACCCCATTAACCTGTCAGGAAAATGAGGATAACAGGTGATGAAATGTCCGTGTACATTGATTCCTATAATGAGACAATGTGAGACATGCCATTCCTTTGCGGGACTATTCCAGGGAAAGGGAGATGGGCACTTTTGTGTACTGTGAGAAAGCGAGACTTATGCCTGCATCTCGTGCCAAGGAGGACAACATTACCATTCTCTAAAACTTCTAAGTCCATGTTGTATCAGAATGTTGTCGCTACGTTCTCGATGTCAAGAGTGTCAACATTTTCTCAATGATGATAGCTAATGTTGCAATGACATTCGTAGAAATGTCTCAGCAACATTCCAAGTGAGACCATTGAAGCAATGTTTTATCAATGTTATACAGCAACTTGCAACATAGAGCAACACAGCCAACATTTCGGAAACGTCTCATTAACATGCTAAGTAACTTGGGCATAACCGATGTCATAGAACTGCGATGTCTTATCGAAGCAATAATACCAGACTTCTTTAAATATCCAAATAAATTCCGACATCGCCACTGGGGACTAAATCGCCCAACGACACGATCAAAATTTCAATGCATTCATCACAACCATAACCGATATGAGAGGGCTACGATGTCGAATCCAAGCGTGGCAACCCATTGTTTTTAAATATCCAAGTGACTTCTAACATCGCTAATAGCAACCAAGTCGGCTAGCGAAACCAGGAAAATTTCAATTCATCACTCATGGCCATAAACGATATAAGAGGCCTGCGATGTCGAATGCAAGCGAGGAAACCCATTATTTTTAAATATCCAAGTGACTTCTGACATCTCCAATGGCAACCAAGTCGGCTAGCGAGACCAGGAAATTTTCATCACTCATAGCGAAAACCGATATGAGAGGGTTGCGATGTCCAATCCAAGCGTGGCAAAAATTAATTTTAAATATCCAAGTGAATTCCGACATTGCCACGGGCGACCAAGTCGGCCAGCGACACGTTCAAATCTTCCACGCAACTCTCGCTGCCAGAACCGACATCAAAGAGCTGCGATGTCGAATGCAAGCGAGGAAACCCATTATTTTTTATTATTTTTAAATATCCAAGTGACTTCTGACATCTCCAATGGCAACCAAGTCGGCCAGCGACACGTTCAAATCTTCCATGCAACTCTCGCTGCCAGAACCGATATCATAGAGCTGCGATGTCGAATGCAAGCGAGGAAACCCATTATTTTTAAATATCCAAGTGAATTCCGACATTGCCACGGGCGACCAAGTCGGCTAGCAACAAAAGGAAAATTTCAATTCATCACTCATTGCCATAACCGATATGAGAGGGTTGCGATGTCGAATCCAAGTAAGGAAACCAAGGATATTTAAATATCCATGTTAATTCCGACATCGCCACCGGGGACTAAATCGCCCAACGACACGATCAAAATTCCAATGCATTCATCACTACCATAACCGATATGAGAGGGCTACGATGTCGAATCCAAGCGTGGCAACCCATTGTTTTTAAATATCCAAGTGACTTCTGACATCGCTAATAACAACCAAGTCGGCTAGCGACACCAGGAAAATTTCAATTCATCACTCATTGCCATAACCGATATGAGAGGGCTGCGATGTCGAATCCAAGCGTGGAAACCCATTATTTTTAAATATCCAAGTGACTTCTGACATCTCCAATGGCAACCAAGTCGGCCAGCGACACGTTCAGATCTTCCATACAACTCTCGCTGCCAGAACCGATATCAAAGAGCAGCGATGTCGAATGCAAGCGTGGAAACACATTATTTTTAAACATCCAAGTGAATTCCGACATTGCCACGGGCGACCAAGTCGGCTAGCGACACCAGGAAAACTTCATCACTTATTGCGAAAAGCGATATGAGAGGGTTGCGATGTCCAATCTAAGCGTGGCAAAAGATTAATTTTAAATATCCAAGTGAATTCCGACATTGCCACGGGCGACCAAGTCGGCCAGCGACACGTTAAAATCTTCCATGCAACTCTCGCTGCCAGAACCGACATCAAAGAGCTGCGATGTCGAATGCAAGCGAGGAAACCCATTATTTTTAAATATCCAAGTGAATTCCGACATGGCCACGGGCGACCAAGTCGTTTAGCGACACCAGGAAAACTTCATCCCTCATTGCGAAAACCGATATGAGAGGGTTGCGATGTCGAATCCAAGCGTGCCAAACCATTAATTTTAAATAACCAAGTGAATTCCGACATCTCCAATGGCAACCAAGTCGGCCAGCGACACGTTCAAATCTTCCATGCAACTCTCGCTGCCAGAACCGATATCATAGAGCAGCGATGTCGAATCCATGGGAGGAAACCAAGCATATTTAAATATCCAAGTTAATTCCGACATCGAAACCGGGGACTAAATCGCCCAACGACAGGATCAAAATTTCAATGCATTCATCACTACTATAACCGATATCGAATGCGATGTCGAATCCAAGCGTGGAAACCCATTATTTTTAAATATTCAAGTGACTTCTGACATCTCCAATGGCAACCAAGTCGGCCAGCGACACGTTCAAATCTTCCATGCAACTCTCGCTGCCAGAACCGATATCATAGAGCTGCGATGTCAAATGCAAGCGAGGAAACCCATTATTTTTAAATATCCAAATGAATTCCGACATTGCCACGGGCGACCAAGTCGGCTAGCGACAAAAGGAAAATTTCAATTCATCACTCATTGCCATAACCGATATGAGAGGGCTGCGATGTCGAACCCAAGCGTGGCAACAAATTATTTTTAAATATCCAAGTGACTTCTGACATCTCCAATGGCAACCAAGTCGGCCAGCGACACGTTCAGATCTTCCATACAACTCTCGCTGCCAGAACCGATATCAAAGAGCAGCGATGTCGAATCTAAGCGTGGAAACACATTATTTTTAAATATCCAAGTGACTTCTGACATCGCTAATAGCAACCAAGTCAGCTAGGGACGACAGGAAAACTTCATCACTCATTGCCATAACCGATATGAGAGGGTTGCGATGTCGAATCCAAGCGTGGAAACCCATTATTTTTAAATATCCAAGTGACTTCTGAAATCACCAATGCCAACCTAGTCGGCTAGCGACACCAGGAAAATTTCAATTCATCACTCATTGCCATAACCGATATGAGAGGGCTGCGATGTCGAATGCAAGCGTGGAAACCCATTATTTTTAAATATCCAAGTGACTTCTGACATCTCCAATGGCAACCAAG